TAATATATGTGTGTCTTGCTGCACTCCTTACCGGTATAGGATGTTCCCTGAAATCCTGGTGGGTGCTCGTAGTGACCAAAGATGGCGCCGTGCAAAAGGATGTCACCAGCACACCATTTAATTGAAATCAACAAAAGTCAATTTATTATTGGAGTACTGTCATTCCAGTACAAGCGCTTTTGGGGTCCGCACAGGGACCCCTTCAACAGGCTCAGAATCAACTGTACCCTGCGCCACTGTACATGCCAGGGCTACAGTGAGGACCCTGCTTGCCTACCACCTGTCAATCACTGCCTGCCCCATTTGATTGCTTGGTGGGCTTGGAAGTTATGCAGCCAACTCCTGCCCAACACCTGCAGCCACATGCACCTTCCCTGCAGCCCACTGCTCTTCTCTGTCCATTGAAGGTTCCAACAGGAAGATCCTCAGTGGGCCGCATTTTTGGTACCACTGCCGTTAAGCATTTTATTTATTTATATTCCAACTGGCCCATGTCACGCTAGTGATTTTCTCAGTGGAAACTCGCCATTGACAAGATCAAAAAATAAAACACACATGCCCCAACGGGCATTTCTTCCTCCCCAGACAAAAAAAATGAGGTGTAGATCCATTGCTGCCCACAGTGATTCTGCAGCATTTTGCCCAGCAATTGAGCAACACTGTCAGAGCAGGTAAGTTCTTCCTTTAGTGATCTGGCAGCAATCTGTCAGCGACAGGATCACAAATGAGACATAGCCCTAAGGGGTTTCTGTGAAAGACATCCTACACTATACTTAGCGTAAAAAACATTTTTCAGAAGTATATAGAGAAAGTACTGTGAGGGTGAGTATAGGTAGGTTAAACTAGGAAGAGACTCTGTCACTTTACCCTGAATGGGAAAAGGAACAGTTTCTTTAACACAGCCAGCCTTGTTGCTAGGATAAAGCAACTGAAACAGAAGCACCCTTTAAAGCCTTGGTTCTCTACTGGTGGATCGTGACCCAAAAGTGGGTCGCGACCCCATGTTCAGTGGTACAAAACACAAAAATCCCCCAGCCTCAACCTGCAACCAAACAAGTAGCCCTGTCAACAGTATGCGTTAAAATCAGAGGTTTTAGTTGCACAAACTTTTGGCCAAAAATATGTAGAAGCCACACTGCCGCGCCAAGGCACCTCTGCAAAGTGTGGTCCTAACTCTATGTATCCAAGTCTCCAAGTGTGAGCATATTAATGAGGTGCCAACAGTTGGTGCAACTAAAACCTCTGATTTTAACGCATACTGTTGACAGGGCAATTTGTTTGGTTGCAGGCTAGCTGGCAGGTTGAGGTTGGGGAATTTGTGTGTTGTGTATTGTTGTAAGCCTTCCCAATGTGCGCCCTGCTATAAAGGCCGGTTATAGATTCATGCAAGTACCATTTTTTCTAGTTTGCCCATGTTCAGTGGGTCGCCGCATGCATTCCACTGCACTAGGTGGGGAGGTTCCTCAGCCTACCCTAGCACAGCACTGTCAGTTCTCGTGCCGAGCAGCCATTCAGCTTGAGGTGGGGTGGGCCACGAGCTCCAGCCATGCATTGCTTACAGCTCCCTCATGTGACCGGAGTGATATCACAGTCTGGCTCCGGGCACCTCTACAGGGAGTGCAAAGGAGCTGTGCAACCAATGCACCTATGAATGGAGCTCTGTTACAGCACAGTGGCCCACACTGAAACCCTCAAAATATTTTTGGGTTGTGTGTTGGATTGTGTGCGTAGCTGTCAATTCGTCGCAAACTATCACGCAATCGCACCTACTGTTCCTTCTCGTGCGGGAGGGGCATTGTGTTGCAATTAATTTGAATGGCACCCCGAACACACCTCCTGCCCACAGTTTAATCGCTTGCACCGAAACATGTGGTACTGCAATGCTGTGCGTTCCAGTGTGGTGCGGCTTGGTCACGACCTAATGACCAATGTGGGTCCTGAGGTTATACAGGTTGAGAACCACTGCTCTAAAGGAATATACTAAATGCTTATCTCTCTGGTGGGCAAGTCTAATCTGTATGCTATTCCAGAGCTATGGTGACACTGCTATCCAACACTTCGAGGTGTGATGAATAGCATGCCCCCAGCTGCGCACTTTGGTTCTACCTGCTAAGTCATTAAGGGGTTGTGTTGCCAGCAAATGGAGGGTTATTTTGACATCTGTTTGAGATGCTTCTGATATCATTCAGAAATAATTGCAAGTGCAGTTCGCTTGCTTTAGCAAATTTTGCCTCCCATAGAGTTGTATGAGTGAGAAGCAGTTCTGAAGCAAACAGGACGCTGTCAACCCAGGCCCTAATGCGTTTCCTGCGCGGCTTTTCATGCGGAAGACCGTGCAGGACGAAACCGCTAAAATGCTTAATCCGCACGGATGCCGTCGTATTATCGCGCTTGTACTTTTTTGGGGAACGATGTATATAGACTTGTCATCACTTGTTCTGCCTGATGAAGGGGATCCTGTGAGACCCCGAAACGTTGCATTGAGTGTATTACGTTATGCTGCTCATATGTCAATAAACAGACGTATTTAACTTGTTATTGGAGTGCCACTGTCTATATATTTCGTTTGCTATTGACCACGGTTGCCAACCGTCGACAGCCGCAGAGCCCACCGTCATTATCTTTGGACCAGCGGTTATGATTGCGATGAGTTCATGGACTTTGTACTATTTTGGGGGCCATGAGGTTTTTACCGCACGTTCCCCGCAATAGTCTGAACAAAGCACCTTAAAGTGCATTGTTTTCTCTGTTTAGAGCGGCTCCGCGCATATCCGTGCAGCTGAATCCGCGCGGACAGCCGCTCCAGTGCGAATGGAGCCTAAAGGCTGTGACACACTGCATGCGAAGCAGCACGGAGCGGTGGCGCTCTGCCTTCACGAGCAGTGTGTCATGTAATTTTCTCCTTGGGACGTCAGCTTGCGAGAGCTCACGTAGCTGAGCATGCCGAGATGAAAAATGTCATCTTCAGCCAATCGGCTCACGCGTATAAGCCCGCGCGTCAGCATGCGACGTCTGGCTGGTTGTTACGGACGAGCCGATTGGCTGAAGGTGCAGTCAATCATCTGACTGCACTCAGCTCACACACTGCACGCAAAGCTCCATGCCGGACAGCTTTGCTTCGCTCTGCACGGCTTTGCGTACAGTGTGTCACGGGCTTTAGCCCTAATTCACACGGCTAACAGCCGGGCGGCACAGATCCATGCTGCGTGCACAGCCGTATCGGGCCGCTCCTGATTTGTACGCAGCAGCCTGTTCTTCTCTATGGGAGTACGCCGCATGTCCGTGCGGGTGTCCCTGCTCGGACGCAGACAGGATCCATCCTGTCCTAGTACAAGTACAGACACCCGCATGGACGCGCAGTTCGGGTGAGCGTACGGCGGCGTACTGCCATAGAGAAGAACAGGCTGCTGCGTACAATCACACGCACCTGTCCTTCCTGGGAGCGGCCTGATACAGCCGTGCACGCAGCATGGATCTGTACTGCCCGGCTGTTAGCCGTGTGAATGATGGCTTAAAGGAGAACTATGGGGTTAAGTCTTTTCCCCATAGTTCTACCCTTTAAGGACAGATTAGTAACAAAGCAGCAGGGGGTAAAACTACAGCCTGTCGAGGTGGATGGGCTATCGACACACATCTGGTTGTATCAGATGGCAGCACCACTCATAACTCTGGAAGTTTGCTGATTGTTTTGGCCAGTTTGCCCACTTACTGGGTACAGTTTCATTGGTTGCTAAGATGCTGGTGGCCCAACAGAATCATTGGTTGCTATGGTGCGCCCACCTGTGTCGCTGTGCGGCCAGGCCGCTAGCATCCTAGCAACCAATGACACTGTGTATGACACAAGTGGCCCTGGGTTGGGTTCACTTCGATGTTTGCAGAAGCTGGATTTCTGACTCCAAGGCAGTTCACTGCCCACTAGTAAAAATAATAGTTTGCATAGTTTAGAGCTAGGAGCCATACTTCTCAAAGGTTCCATGATATGCCAATGTGGCGTCCACATGTATATGCAAACGTATGCAACTAAAACCTGAGTATTTGAAACAATTTTGTTTTCTTGGCTAGCGTGAAAGTGTTCCAGGGACCCTTTGCATTGTTTTCTATATTGCCCTGCCCATGTCCCCCCTTCCTTTTTTTGGTACTTTTAAATAGATGAGATCGGCTGCCATTGTTATAATTATTTTTTAAAGATTCGACTTGCCACCCGCGGGACAGGTAAGTATTCGACCACTTCTTTCATCCAAGTAACAAGGTCGCTTTAAACATGCTGAGCCACTCGTCAGTGATTTCTAGGTGAAATAAATTCTTCCACAGCAAAGCGGACAAGTATGAACGAATCATGAGACATTTGGTAATAGCTGTAATTCCCAGGTATGTGCACAGCAGAGGTAGTGAGTATGGAAAATACCAATCCTAGTTTCCTGAGTATTTGTGAGTAACTGTAATGACAGTAAAGGCAGAACATTTTGGGGTGTGGTATCGCCTCATAACTCACACTGCACTGACGCCCTGAGCTTGTCTGAACCGGTTACTAAGGAATTAGAGGCTGGCTCCATACACTAGGGAACTCTCCTGTCATTTAACAGCGCCGCCATCTTTGTTTACCGGTACACTGCGGAAGGATAGGGGCAGGAGGTGGGGAGGGAAGCCATTTTGTCACTAGCACGGTATCGCCGCGACTTGTTTTCAGGAAAGACTTCCGTCAATAAGAAACTTTTGGTTTTAAGTGACGCATTGAAACTGCTACGTGGAAGACGAAATTACATCGCAATGATTTCTATCTAGCGTTAAAAATGTATTGTAGGTGAACTTGATAGAAAGGCGACTTTCCAGGATAGTTAAACCGCGTAAATCAGAATCCCAATAAAAGTATGAATAACCTTATCGATCCTTAGCTATACCGCCCACAGCAAATATGGCCGCCGGCAGTTCGGGCGCGCCGCGACGTCACCCTCCCACCCTCGAGAGGCGGGGCCAGCTGTGTGGACGCAGTGTGAGATAACGCCGCACGCTCTTTCCACTGTACCCAGGGTGCAGTGCGGCACGGAGGAGGGCATTTTGTGGTGAGGGAGTGAAAGCGGAGGGGTTAGCAGGAAGGAGAGAACACAAGATGGCGGCCTAAGGAAGAAGCGGAGGGGCTGCGGCTGTGACTCAGGGAGGGAACCCCACAAATAAACCTGGCAGTACTGGCTCCGGGAGGCTCGACAGAGCCGTACATCGCTCAGAAACCGTGAAGGGAGCGGGGAGCTCGCCGATTGAAGACACACAGAGAGCCCTCCTCCCTGCCCTCCGGGACCTGGGCAGCGCCATCGGCCCCTTTCTCATCGGGGTTTCAGTGCCATTCCAGCACGGGCTCTAACCAGACTCATTGTCGCCTGTAACTCTTTGCGGATCATGGCGAGCAGCAGCGGCTCTAAGGCCGAGTTTATTGTCGGTGGGAAATACAAGCTGGTGCGGAAAATCGGATCTGGCTCTTTTGGAGATATCTACCTGGCGATTAACATCACGAATGGCGAGGTAACGTGGCCCTGTACAGCTAGGGCGGCCTGGGGGGAGCGCCCTCTGCCGGGGGTCTAGGGGGGGTTATGGCCCTGTATGGGGTGCTCAGCTGGCGGCGCCCTCTGCCGGCTGCTGGAGGTAGGGAAAGGGCTCTTACGTGTGACCTTAATCCCCTGTATGTGACATGGCGCCTTGCTTCCTTGTGTCATCACTTCAAAATAAAGGAGCCCTGGTAGAAGTGGGGAGTGGATGAGTGCCGCCGGATCGCACACACAGGCTGTAGCGGGCCGGTGATAAAACACCGCATATATAGGTCGAAGGGTCGGACACTGCAGCATCCAAAGTGCTATCACCTCTACGGAGGGCGGACAATTCACTGCTTGCATTGTGCTGTTCTGCTCTTTAATCGCCTTCATTTCTATCTGTATGTTCTGTACATCCCCATTGCACAGGGGACAAAACGTGCCTAAACTATACGTCTCGAGTAGTGGACTATAAGGAGGGCAGAATGGCCCACAGACTCCAAGGGGGTCCATAAAAGTTCTTTACGAGAGTGCTCTTCATGCAAAATGTTTATTTTAGCTTTGTAAAGTCCACCTGTTTTTAAGTAGGTGATCTGCAATGGCAGCCCTTGTATTGCTATCAAAAGGTGATTACTAATGACAACCCTTGTATTGGTATTAGAAGGGGGATCAGTAATGCCAGCCCTCGTATTGGTATTAGAAGGGGGATCAGTAATGCCAGCCCTCGTATTGGCATTAGAAGGGGATCAGTAATGCCAGCCCTTGCATTGGCATTAGAAGGGGGTCGGTAACGCCAGCCCTCGTATTGGCATTGGAAGGGGATTGGCAACGGCAGCCCTTGTATTGGCATTGGAAGGGGATTGGCAATGGCAGCCCTTGTATTGGTATTAGAAGGGGTTTAGCAATGGCAGCCCTTGTATTGGTATTAGAAGGGGATCGATAGCGGCAGCCCTTGTATTGGTATTAGAAGGGGATCGGTAGCGGCAGCCCTTGTATTGGTATTAGAAGGGGATCAGTAGCGGCAGCCCTTGTATTGGTATTAGAAGGGGATTGGCAATGGCAGTCCTTGTATTGGTATTAGAAGGGGATTGGCAATGGCAGCCCTTGTATTGGTATTAGAAGGGGATTGGCAATGGCAGCCCTCGTATTGGTATTAGAAGGGGATCTGTATAGGCAGCCCTTGTATTGGTATTAGAAGGGGATCTGTATAGGCAGCCCTCATATTGGTATTAGAAGGGGATCTGTATAGGCAGCCCTCGTATAGGCAGCCCTCCGTATTGGTATTGGAAGGGGATCTGTAGTGGCAGCCCTCGTATTGGTAGGGGATCTGTATAGGCAGCCCTCGCATTGGTATTGGAAGGGGTTTTGTATTGGCAGCCCTTATATTGGTATTGGAAGGGGATCTGTAGTGGCAGCCCTCGTATTGGTAGGGGATCTGTATAGGCAGCCCTCGCATTGGTATTGGAAGGGGTTTTGTATTGGCAGCCCTTATATTGGTATTGGAAGGGGATCTGTAGTGGCAGCCCTCGTATTGGTAGGGGATCTGTATAGGCAGCCCTCGCATTGGTATTGGAAGGGGTTTTGTATTGGCAGCCCTTATATTGGTATTGGAAGGGGATCTGTAGTGGCAGCCCTCGTATTGGTAGGGGATCTGTATAGGCAGCCCTCGCATTGGTATTGGAAGGGGTTTTGTATTGGCAGCCCTTATATTGGTATTGGAAGGGGATCTGTAGTGGCAGCCCTCGTATTGGTAGGGGATCTGTATAGGCAGCCCTCGCATTGGTATTGGAAGGGGTTTTGTATTGGCAGCCCTTATATTGGTATTGGAAGGGGATCTGTAGTGGCAGCCCTCGTATTGGTAGGGGATCTGTATAGGCAGCCCTCGCATTGGTATTGGAAGGGGTTTTGTATTGGCAGCCCTTATATTGGTATTGGAAGGGGATCTGTAGTGGCAGCCCTCGTATTGGTAGGGGATCTGTATAGGCAGCCCTCGCATTGGTATTGGAAGGGGTTTTGTATTGGCAGCCCTTATATTGGTATTGGAAGGGGATCTGTAGTGGCAGCCCTCGTATTGGTAGGGGATCTGTATAGGCAGCCCTCGCATTGGTATTGGAAGGGGTTTTGTATTGGCAGCCCTTATATTGGTATTGGAAGGGGATCTGTAGTGGCAGCCCTCGTATTGGTAGGGGATCTGTATAGGCAGCCCTCGCATTGGTATTGGAAGGGGTTTTGTATTGGCAGCCCTTATATTGGTATTGGAAGGGGATCTGTAGTGGCAGCCCTCGTATTGGTAGGGGATCTGTATAGGCAGCCCTCGCATTGGTATTGGAAGGGGTTTTGTATTGGCAGCCCTTATATTGGTATTGGAAGGGGATCTGTAGTGGCAGCCCTCGTATTGGTAGGGGATCTGTATAGGCAGCCCTCGCATTGGTATTGGAAGGGGTTTTGTATTGGCAGCCCTTATATTGGTATTGGAAGGGGATCTGTAGTGGCAGCCCTCGTATTGGTAGGGGATCTGTATAGGCAGCCCTCGCATTGGTATTGGAAGGGGTTTTGTATTGGCAGCCCTTATATTGGTATTGGAAGGGGATCTGTAGTGGCAGCCCTCGTATTGGTAGGGGATCTGTATAGGCAGCCCTCGCATTGGTATTGGAAGGGGTTTTGTATTGGCAGCCCTTATATTGGTATTGGAAGGGGATCTGTAGTGGCAGCCCTCGTATTGGTAGGGGATCTGTATAGGCAGCCCTCGCATTGGTATTGGAAGGGGTTTTGTATTGGCAGCCCTTATATTGGTATTGGAAGGGGATCTGTAGTGGCAGCCCTCGTATTGGTAGGGGATCTGTATAGGCAGCCCTCGCATTGGTATTGGAAGGGGTTTTGTATTGGCAGCCCTTATATTGGTATTGGAAGGGGATCTGTAGTGGCAGCCCTCGTATTGGTAGGGGATCTGTATAGGCAGCCCTCGCATTGGTATTGGAAGGGGTTTTGTATTGGCAGCCCTTATATTGGTATTGGAAGGGGATCTGTAGTGGCAGCCCTCGTATTGGTAGGGGATCTGTATAGGCAGCCCTCGCATTGGTATTGGAAGGGGTTTTGTATTGGCAGCCCTTATATTGGTATTGGAAGGGGATCTGTAGTGGCAGCCCTCGTATTGGTAGGGGATCTGTATAGGCAGCCCTCGGATTGGTATTGGAAGGGGATAAGTAACGACAGCCCTCGCATTGGTATTGGAAGGGGTTTTGTATTGGCAGCCCTTATATTGGTATTGGAAGGGGATTGGCAATGGCAACTAGGGCTGCACCAACTAATTGATTAAATTGATCGATTAACGGAATCGTTGGCAACTATTCTCACCATCGATTAGGTGGGGGAGAGATTTTTTTTTTTTTTATACAACCAATCAACTAGCTGAAAAAGTAATGGGGCAACTAATCGATTATGAAAATAAGTTAGCTGCAGCCCTAATGGCAACCCTTTTATTGGTATCGGGTGGTCAGTATTGATTGCAGGTGTTGATTAGCAATGGGAACCTTTCTATTGCTATCTGTAAAGCTTTCCAATAATCCTATAGAGAAAACATTGTCACTGTCGGTACCTTGAAACATTACAATAGTATCTGCCACCATCACAGGAGTATTTTGCAGAGTATGCCGCTTCACAAAATCCAACTCAAAACATTGTTTCAAATCTGCAGGAAGGTTTTACAAACTGATAACACAAATGTGTATGCCGTCTACCTGATCTCATTATAGTGGTGGTTGAGGAGGGGGCCATGAATTAAACATCTTCCCAACCCTCCTGATCCTAATGTTCTGATTGTTCTGGATATTTCCAGCCATCTTTTACGCAGCACTAAACACATGTGAGGTATCTGCACTGGACTAGAATGTATATTGGGGGTTATGGGTGACAAGTTTGAGGAGAGTGATTTCTGTGACTGTGGGTAAAGTCACAAATCTGCCTTTTCTATATGTAGAATCTTAATTAAGGTCTATAACGTGCTGTACAAATATACGCAGTAGTTGCTGCTCTCATTTTAGATCATGTCTGAGTAAGTTTGGTAGATAATTGTCTGTGTCCATATTCCGTCTTCCTGTTTGCAGATGATTCCCCCTTGTGGTGTCTGCCCAGTATTCAGCATGAATCATTGTGGTGGTCATAGAGATGGTTTGTTGGTCAGTTGTCTCCTGTGGTATCTGTCTGTCTCATGCCATGGTCATTACTTCCTCCTGGCTAAATAATCTTTAGTTGGGTGTCAGTTTTGTGACCGGTTTGCTGCACATTGTTATCCTAGGAATGCTCCATGTAGCCATTATGTATAAGCATATTGAACAATAACCGGTGGCAGGTATAGACGTTTTTGACTTGGGAACTCGGATCCCTTTACATTCTTGACATAGGGTCATTAAGGCTACAGCTTTATCTGAAGTACTCTTCATTTAGATTAGATTCCTGAAAACGTTTGTTAACTTTGCTACTTTTAGAACTTTGCTACTTTTAGAAGTTCTATATCTATCTGGACTTGTTCCTACTAGACTTCATTTTCCTGCGTTTCAGTGCCGGATAATGCAGTTCATGGCAAGCGAAGAAATACAAATCAATGGGACAGGTTTGCACCAATATTCTGTTATAGAAAGTGGCAGCTTAATCTTTGGTCTGCTGACCCCTGATTCTCCTTGGGGTAGTTCAGTTGGCACCTTACGTTTTAAAATTCATGTGAGGTGATATTGCAGGAGATTTTCTGACCAAGATTTGCCTGAAAGCCGAATTATTTTGGTTTGGTATATACAGGCTATGCAAATGTTTGTGCTGTCTTTGACATTTTTACATCGGGGTGGGGGGATAAGACTGGACATGTCAGAAGTGGAAGGTCAACTTGATCGTGTGTTCTGCGTGTTTTTTTTTTCTTTTTTTTGCAACGAAGAATGCTATATAAAAAAGAAAATGCCCTGAAATTAATATCATATTGCAGACACTGATTAGAAATTGTCTCAT